ATAAATATAAATATAAATAAATATAAATATAAATAAATATAAATAAATATAAATAAACAAATAAATAAATAAAAAAAAAAAACTGCAGGCTCTGTTGGATCCCTCACACTGGACTGTAAGTTTCAATTTAAACTCCTCACTTGGACTGCGGGCTCAGTTAATCCCTCACTTGGACCGTAAAACCTGTTTAAATCCCTCACACTGGACTGCAGCTCTCGGTTTAATCCCTCACTTGGACTACAAGCTCTCAGTTATAAATCCCTCTCTTGGACTGCAAGCCCCGTTTAAATCCCTCTTGGACTGCGGCTCCCAAATTGAATCCCTCACATTGGACTGCGAGCTCTCAGGTTAATCCCTCACGGATCTGCTTATATCCGGAACTGCTTTTTCTGGAACGCTTATATATAAAAATAAATAAATATAAATAAATATAAATATAAATAAATAAATATAAATAAATATAAATAAACAAATAAATAAATAAAAAAAAAAAACTGCAGGCTCTGTTGGATCCCTCACACTGGACTGTAAGTTTCAATTTAAACTCCTCACTTGGACTGCGGGCTCAGTTAATCCCTCACTTGGACCGTAAAACCTGTTTAAATCCCTCACACTGGACTGCAGCTCTCGGTTTAATCCCTCACTTGGACTACAAGCTCTCAGTTATAAATCCCTCTTTCAGGACTGCGGGCAATGTTGAATCCCTCACTCTGGGCTACAAACTCTCAGTTTAATCCCTCACCTCGGACTACAGGTCGTTTAACTCCCTCACACCGGACTGCAGGCTCCCCGTTAAACGCCTCACTTGGACTGCGGGCTCAGTTTTAATACCTCACTTTGGACTGCAAGCTCTATTTAAATCCCTCACATTAGACTGCAAGCTCTGTTTAGGTCCCTCGCCGTCTCGTGTCCCGCAACCTCTTCCCGGCTCTCCGTGAGCCCCAAGTCGGCACGCGGCTCGGGCGCGGGAGGTGTCCGTGGGCTACGTCATTGGCCCCTTCTCTCCGTCTCGCTCTAACCCGACGGGCATCGCCACCCGCAAGCACTCCAGGAAGAAGCGTCTCATACTCGTCCTCTCCTGTCCCCACTCCGGGCCCGCCCGAGCATCAACAGCCCCTTCCCTCCAGCGCCCTTCTCCCTGCAGTCCGCTACCGTGGACCACGCGATCAGGCTGATAAAGACTTTCGGCCCCGGCTCCTGGCTCTCCAAGGCCGTCATCCCGGACGCGTTCAAGCTGCTGCCATCCACCCCGACCACTGGCGCTGTTCAGGGGTCAAGTGGCGTCGGAGTTTTTCTTCGCAGTGCGCCTCACCTTCGACTGCCGGAGTAGTCCCTCTCGTTCAACAATCTCTCGGAGGCGCCGTGTCGGATTCTGCTTAATTACGCGCGGCTCCCCTCTATCCCGCATCTCCCCGATGATTCCCTCGTAGTCAACCCACCCTCAGACTGCTCCGGGGGCTCTCTCCGCAAGCTCAGGCCCGCCCTCTCTGCCCTCGGATTCCTCCACTCCGGAAAGACCACAGGCCCCGCCAACGCTCTGGAGTTTCTCGGCATCCGCCTCGACACACGCGCCATGGAGGCCTCCCTCCCGCTGGACAAGCTCGAACGCATCCGCGCTTTCTCCCGGTCTGCCTTGGCCTTCCCGTCACTTCGAGGCGTCCTTGCTCTCCCTCCTCGGGCATCTTAATTATGCCGTCCGTATCATTCCCCAAGGTCGTTCTTTTAATTCCAGACTCCTCTCCCTCGCCGGCTCCGTCTCCTCCCTCAATGACGCTGTCTGCCCGGACGCGGGGCGCCGCTCCGACCTGGCGTTCCGGTCCCGTCTGCAGAGCCGCTGGGATGGTGTATCTCTTTTTTTTTTACAGTGACGTCATTCTGTCTCAGATCCCCCGCGGTTCTTCACGGACGCAGCCCCGTCCGTGGGTTTTGGGGGTTTTTCCAGGACCAGTGGTTCGCCGGGCCCCGGCCCGACGCTTTCCCTCGAAGCATCTCCTCCGCCCTCCACGAGATGTATCCCGTGACCGTAGCCTGCGTGCTGCGGAACCATACGTGGCATAGGAAAAGGATTTCCGTGACGTGCGACAACCTCGACGTCATTGAAATAATTAACAGACGTCGTTCATCCTCTCCCCAAATCACATCCTCCTTAGACGCATCACATGGCTCTCAGTCCTGAACAATTTATCATCACTGCTCATCACGTCCCTTGTCACCTAACTGTCTTGCTGACTCTCTCTCTCGCTTTAAATTCCAGGAGTTCTGACGCCTTTGCCCTTCTGCCAATCCATCGCCATGCCAGATCCCCTGCACGGAATCCCACTCAATTTACTAATATGGATTGATGGGGGTAAATGGTATGAACAGAAAGTTTGTGCTAACTACATTCAGAAGAGCCTGATACAGCTGTCCAAACCCTAGCTGGGATCCAGATGCATCCAGATGCTCCCATAGACTGTATATATTAACAGGCGTGACTACGTCCGTTAATATATACAGTATATCTCCGCAGTTCTAACTAATGGGCCAAAAATCTTTTAAACGAGTGACTTCAAAAATTCACTGCAAGTAAACTGGACTGGTCCAAAAAAATTCACTCTCCTCAGCATGTGGAACAGAGCTTTGGGCCAAGAGCCAACTTTTGGACCATCCTGTGAAGACGTTTTCGAGAGGTCAGCTAATGCTATATGTTAGCATTGGCTATTTCTTATTCCGGGTCCACCCCCATCGGCCCGGGGTAGTATTGCAAGCATGTCAGTTCACATCATTTTGGCCACTTTTGAGCCGGGACTGTTGGTCCAGCTTTTCCAAAGAAGTGTTTTGAACAAAAACAAGTGTCATTTCTAACATTTTCAAGAGAGAAATTTTGTCGACCACAAGCACGAACCCACTTCCTGCACTTGACGATGTCATGGGGTGGGATTACGAACGGGATGAATGTTACTGTTTTGTATCTTGAACCGCTCCGACAAGTACCATCACTGCAGTGTTTTGTTGTCACCATGATTCAATGATAAAGCCCAAATAAAAACATCTGCATGTGGAGAACACAGTAGAACTCAACGGAGTCGTACACAATGTCATTTCGAACCATGCTCGCATACAGTCATCTGAGTTATTTTTAGCCCCGTCCGGAAACCCGACAGTGCCCTATTGCACCCCTATTAGACTATTGCACCCTTATTGCTCTATTACACCCTTATTATACAATTAGTACACTTGTTATGAAACACATTATCCATAAATGTATTATATACGGATTTTATATTGATTATATATTGTAAAACTGCAAATTATACAAAGATTGTATACAATTATAACAAAACACAAATGTTTGCCATATATGAAAGAATACCACCTCCTCGGTCATATTTTTTTTTCTCAAATCTTGAGGCAGGTGTCTTCTTCATACATCAAGTTTGCATAAACTCAACACAACATTTAGCACAAAGTCAATAGCTGAATCTCGAGCATTATTCAGAAATGACTGGAGTCAGAGCAATGATCATTTACTTGAAGTACTCAAAAAAACTCTCAAAGAAATCTATTAATAAAGCAAAGAGGGAAAAAACAGTACTTTGGGAAAAAATTTTAATTGCAGAATGCAAGATAAATGTAACGCTCTGGTGAAGTATGGCCCCATTGAATATAATATTGAATGATTGGAATAATAATGTCCTGTACAGCCAATAGGTCTGGTGAGTCTGGTGAGTCTGGTCACATACTGGTTCCCTTGATTTAGTGTGTAATGCCCTCATAGGTCCTTACCATATTTTCATTCAGGAGGGGTGAAATTCTATTTTACAGCCAATTTTATGTATCAGGCATTGTTGTCAATTGGTATTATTATTATGGCCTATTCTATTGATGGTGTCATTGGTGGGACTCTATTTGAGAGTGTCGGGCAAGGACGTCAGAAGCCGACTCAAAGCACGGCCAGCACCTTTACCTGGAGGACCCGTTTCCACGGATTGTAATCGCTTTTAGAGTTATTTTGTGTTTGGATTACCAAGACTGTTGTGGATCTAACGAGACTGTGGATTATTACCCCATGGTCGCTGCTTGGCTTCAGGACCGGTTTTGGTGGACTATGGTGAATGCGTGGGGGGCCGTGAGTGGAACCGTGGGCTTCAGCACTGACACTGACTTTCTTTTTTGTTTTCAAATATTGAGTGCAAATTAACACTTAGATCACAGGGACTGCTGTTTGTGAATGTTTATTTTAATTATTTTGTGGGATCGCGCTTGAGCGTGGGGGGTGTTGGCCTTTCATATTGATGAAAGGCATGTTCTATACCTGTACTTATTTCACCCCACTGATGTGACCATCTCCTGTCGCGTCCTTTTTAAAGCGTGGTAGCTCTGTCGTTTTGGGAGATAGGCAAATTGTTACAAGTGTGCCCCGGGGAAGCAGTGGCTACAGTAGTAGTATATCACCACCATGAATAGAGTGAATGAATAATGTGTCAAATAATGTGTTTGAACGTTGAAAAACCGCTGTATAAAACCAATATGTAATTGTATATACGTTTTTGAATGTGTCCCAAAATTCTATATATGATTCTAGCATAACTAATCCGATTCGGTCAAAACTGTTACTATCTATGTTGTCAGCCCCTGGACAAATCAGGTAAACTAAAGTGGCCCTCCTACTTAGGTTTGGACACCCCTGCTTTACAGGTATTATGTCATGAAATATGAGTAAGTATATAATTGGTCCACTTCATTACCTCATTACCTTCATTATCTCACGTCCGGCTGCACATGGGCAGTGGATAGGTGAGTCTGTTTATGGAGCCAGTTAGCAACTAACGCTGGTTCTTTGTGATTTGGCAAAAATTAAAGAGCAGCCAAAGCAAAAAATGGCTGTGGGGGTCATTGAGAACACAGGAAAGACGTCTAAAGACATAACACTAGAGTGGCCCGGGACTTCTGCCAAATTTGTCATGAAGACCTGTTTTCTTGCAAAATGTCACCTAAACCTTGAACAATCCCATCCTTACCCGTGTGCGTTCTCTGGTGAGCTTTGAGGTGTGAACTTTTGGTGTAGACCTTCCTGCAGCCGTTGAACTGACATCTATGCACCCTCTTCTTGTTCTCGGGAATCTCTGGCCCTCCCCCGTGCTCACAGTCGCTCAACACACCCAAGCCTCCGCCGCTCTGGCACTGCGACGGTAATGCGTGCGCCGCCACCAGCCCCACCTTTTTGGCCACAAGCTTCAGCGTCAATGTACCGTCCACCGCTGCTGTTAGAGTCTGCATTGGTTTGATCAGATGTCTTCCCAGCTCAGGGGAAGACGGTGGCGTTAGCGACGTCACGGCCACGCTGAGCTGTGCCGCATTGATGCCTTCGAGCTCGGGGGTGGACGTGAGCAGGGTTTTGGAGTGGATCTTGGGCAGGCTTTTGAGTAGGTATGCTGGGGTGGGTGGGCTGGGAGGTTCTTGCAAAGATGGTAAAAGTGGATCCATGAGCTCTTCGTCGCTGTCAGAGCCGTGCATGAATGCGGGAGTGAGTAGGCGGTCCAGATCCTCCTCAAAAAGTTCAGAAAGACGTTTGGGTTCGGTCTGAAGGTAGCGCTCCAACTCCAAGCAGGTCTGCAAGAGAGGGGGAAGTCAGATGATTATGATAAGGTTTTCAAAAAATTGTTAACTTGAAAAAAACAGTAGTCCCTCACTATAACGCGGTTCCCTATCAATATTCATATGTTGTTTTTAGATATAAAAAATCTGCAATACATGTTACAGATCTTTCACGACCTTATAGGAAAGTTATACAAGCAATGGCCCTTGTAATAAGGTCATTTGGCTAAATTACAGCTTTATTTGGTCACTGTGTTTATACTGAACATGATTCTGAAAAAATACTTTGGTGGAAAGGTGGGTTGAAAGCCAAGTCAAAAGGACACGGCAGCGCAGGGCGGTCAGTGAGAATGGTCAGTGTGAAAAAGTTCCTTAAAGAGCGACTAAACACCTGTGCCCAGCCTTACTCCGCCCACATGAAGATTTGAAAATTTTCTCTAAAAAGGGCGTTGCCTGGAGGACTAAGGGACAAGAAGGGGGCTTAGAGTTGGGCGTGGTCTGGGCTGTGATTGACAGCTCACTTGTGACACAAAAAAAACAGACAGTTGTCATTGCTGCTTAAAGCAATAGTTTACACACCAGAAAGTCTCATTGCACCCTTGTTTACACACTAAGATAATTGTAAAGCTACACACCTGAACCTAATCACACTCAATAATCTCAGAATGAGTCATGTAATTTAATTTTAATCCACTAGATGGCGCCAGAATACTCCAAACTGCAGCTGGGGCGTGTGTGAGAGTTGAATGGGTTCACATCACTGGCTCTGACAGACTGACGTCACACAAAACAACTGATGTCATAGAGAACTTCAGAGTCAATGGAGAGGCCAGGACCAAATTCAAATGTAGTACCACCAAAAAGGTAGAGAGGGCACCACACAGCGTTTTTTGGCTCAAAAGTGATATTTTATCTAAGTTGAACTAAAATGTCAAAAGAATGACCAGGATATGTAGACAGCACTACAATAAACATACTTATGCAGTTTATGAGTTAAAAAAAGTTGATTTGGTGTTTAGTCGCTCTTTAAAGTGATTGTCTGGAGTTTGTCAGAAAGAGACTTGATTTGAAAAAAACGACGCAAGCTCCCTCCCCCTTCTTTTCTGATTGGTCTACACCTACATTTCCGTAACACTTTTAAATGTTAATCTGAGAACACATTATACATTACATGCACAGAGGTTTTCAGAATTATTTGCTAACGTTTTAATGAAAAAAATATTTTTTTATGCACAAAAAAAGCGATACATAAGTACCTCAGCGCGGATGTTCAGAATTCTTTGTTCAGTTTTCATGTAGTTCCAGAGCCTAATAGAGGCTTGATTCGGAGGCTCCGTGAAAACAAACAACTGAGCATGCGCGCAGCTGCGAGCATCAGCGCCTATGATTGACAGCCCTTGGCATGACTCGATTGGTTAACCTCGACGGCACCGTGGATTCTGAGCTATAGCTAAGAGAAGGGAAGGCGGGACTTACCCGTTATATTAGAATTAATAAAATGACTTATTTCATATCAACATTTAAGGCCAGGAGGTCAATTTAACACATTTCCAATTTAGTTTGACTAATGTATTATCACACACATCTCTAATTACAGCCCTATCTCAAAGTGAAATTATTTCTATATATATAGCCATATATATATAGAACTATAAACTATATATATATATATATATAGTTTCTATATCCCAACAACATAATCACTGTCCAACAGACTTTCTAATCAACATGATGTAATATGCAAATTTACACATGCAACATTTTAGTCCAGACGCTTCAAATGGACTCACATCTCTGGCATTTTAAGTGGTGTTACAAAGAAACCTGTTTATCTCCAAAATACATCTCCTCTCTCATGTGCAGCACTTGGTCACTTCACTCAAATGCATTTCATTTACATTCAAACCTTCAGCCCTCAAAGACACACGCAGAATTTGAAAACAGAAATCGTTCTTATCAGCTGTCCGCAGCACATGCCTGTAATATATGGGCTTGTGTGGAGCTGGCCGGGGTGAAGGGATTGCGTGGACCTGACCTTGCTAGTAAAAAAATCTGCTATTACTACTAGTACTACAACTCTTACTTCTACTACTACTCATACCCCATTTGATAATCTTTGACATGAATTCAGCACAGCCTTGCGCGGTGCGTGGTGTGCACGCTCCAATGCAGCAACTTGGCTCAAGTCAGCTGTAAGAGAGTGCGACCGATTTCGGAATGCCACGCGCCAAAACAGTGTGTATGTGTGTGTGTGTCTGTGTGCGTGTGTGAGTGTGAGTGCGCACCCGACACTGCATTGGAGCAATACGCAAAACATATCCAGTGCACCATTTTGAAATGAGTTTATCATATATATCATATAGAATTTTTAAGCTGAAACAGAATAGAGAAGAAATAACTATACCTTTATCATATCTCATTGAATTGTCTTGACAATGTTAAATGTAATTGAACATTAAATTGGTATAGTAATTATTGGGACGGGCTGAATCATTTGCAAATTTACCCATTTTCTTATTTTCATATTAGTGATATATTCTTTACTATTTTTCTAACGGTTTTATTTTGATAGACATGTCTCTCTCAGTATAGGAATTGATGTGTATAGTGATCCAAGTTGACATAAACTTTCCTTCATTGATCCCTTACAGATGACATGGAAAATACTTAAATACTATAGTACTGCACAATCGCAGAGGAAACAAGTGGCAAAAGTCACTAGACAAGCGGGGGACGGATCCTCCACCAGGAAACATACACAGTGCACCTTAAAGAACAGTGGAGTTCTGTGCACACAACCCATGTGACATCACCTGCGAGACCAGGACAAACCATGTGGACACATCACCTGCGAGACCAGGACAACCCATGTGGACACATCACCTGCAAGATGTGAATTAAAATCAGCTTAGACATGAGACAAGGAGACATCAGAAGGTTGCATTGTTCAATTGGCATTTATTAGCAGTTTTAAGCAAGATCCTAGACAGCTCCAAAGTCTGGTCCATGGGCGCTCCTGCAGAAGTCTAGCAAGAGTCAACATAAGTCTACACAACTCTGCTAAAGTCTCTTCAACTCTGCCAAAGTGTTAGCATATTTGAAACTCCTTGAAACAGTGTCTATATTAATTAGTAAATAATATTTAGATATTCACAAAGACTAGAACACACCACACAAACCCTAACCTTTATTGGTCTCCTCTGCTCCTTCAGGAAATTTGAAAAGAAGTTGGACACACAGAGGAGAAGAGGAGAAAAGGAGCCCCTAACTCTCTTCTTCCATGACTCGGTTTGTAACCTTAAACAAATTGACTGCTTCTGACTTTAAACTAAACATGATTGTGCAAATCTAGGAGTGTTGCAGAAGGGAAGTAGATGAGAAGAGGAGAAACAATTAGGTGAAAAATGGAATCTAGGTGAAAAACCTCATATGTGACACAGTATAACCAAACTTCCAGACATTGAAGAATGTAGTTGTTGAGTGTAAATTGTACAGAACATCATTTAAAACATGAATATATAATAATTATTATTTCTTTTTCTCAGTCCACTCAAGTCAGCGAGTTATTTACGAATGAAGATAAAAATAAACCAAGTTCATTTGTAATTAAATCCTGTACAACTTAAAAGTAAAACAAATACAAATCTGATGTTTCTTTTAGAATATTTAGAATTGCTTCTTGTTGGCAGTATTGCATATAATTAAGATGGATTATGATTAATCTTCTTCGTGCGTATTCAGTGTTAATGTGTACATATATTGTATCCCTCACTCTGATCCTATTATCATAATAAGTCTTGTTTGTTTTCCATACTCTCACTATACTGTAGTGTCCTCACTGAGTATCTGGGTATGGTCACTCAGGTCCAGGCCTCGACCACAGCACGAGGTCAACAGGACAGCAGTATATTGAGGATTATTGGTTACTACATAAATATTACTCTTTTTATAATCATCTTTTGATATAAGTAAGACGGGGAACGCTGAGCTAAGGACATTTGGAATGGCTGTACTATACAACTGGCTGTAAACACTAAAGTGAAATATCCACTGATCTAATGTGTATGTGTTCATGTCAGACTCTGATTCTGTGAAAAGGGGAAAACCTTCATCGGAACATGACAGACCAAGCTAGATAGGTCTTCAAGAGATTTTTCAGGGGAGGCGCTATGTGGAACCATCTACACCTTCAGAAGGAGAGCTATAATCTACACCTGTAGAAGGAGAGCCATAATCTACAACTGCTACCTTTTGGACTTTTCATGAGGCTATGCCCCATTCAAGATATGCATTTGTTTTGAATTGTTAATGGCTAAGGCATCGGTCCCAAACCCAATGAACTGACAGACTATGACAGACACACCACTCTGTGAAACTACCAACCATTATTTAGCCCAGCCTTTTTTTGTTTAAGTGAACATAATGATACTTAACCTGTGCAATACTGTGCAAGTATGTGTCCACTATTTTTGTAATGCATACAATTGATTTAAAAAAAAAAGATTCAAATGTCTAGTTTGCATCATGGAGCTATAGATTTGCATAATAGATGATTAAAGAATACTTTATTCATGTACTTACATACAGTTTAGAATGAATGAAAGGAACTATGCAATATAAGAATCCCTTACAGATTGTAATTGTCATTAAATAATATTTGACTTTGTAACAGGTATAATTTATTGTCTTTTATGTTTTTTGTGTAGTTACAATGTTATTTAAGAATCTGTTATTTGATCCAATGCTTTCTAACTCCTATACTATATTTCAAATTATTTCACTCCACTGATGTGACCATCTCCTCTCGCGTCCTATTTAATGCGTTGTAGCTCTGTCGTTTTGGAAGAGATAGCAGTGGCTACAGTAGAAGTATATCACCACCATGAATAAAGTGAATGAATAACGCATCAAATAATGTGTTTGAACGTCGAAAAAGCGCTGTATAAATCCAAATGAGAAGTCTGTGAGCGAGTTGGGGGGCGGTGCTAACCATTCAAACCTTGCAGAAATGGGTATAGCGCCTTTAATGTAATGAGTAATGAGGTTAATGTTTCAAATTTAGTGCAGATGGCCCATGCGTGTGACAGATGATCAGATACAAACACTACAATATTCATGCCCTTTGAAACATATGGAGAGGTCAAAGTCATGCACACATATTCAGTCTGACACTTCCCATCGCTGTCTGTTCAATGTAAATGCCAAATGTACACAGCACAAAGCACTAACCTCCATTTAGAGTCACCGTGGCCCAGAGACAACCCATCAAGAATAATTTGTACTCTTCAGCCAAACAGATATATTATTTATTAAGAATGTGAGCGGTTCCCGGTGAGCGGTTCCTGCGTCCAGCTCAGAGCCGCTGGATGCGGGAACACTGCGGCCGCTGAGGTGGTGGAATCCCATTCGAGTACATACAGCAGGAGCCCGCGGACACGCGCGCTCCCCTCGAACATTTCTCAAAGGATTTACACTTTTCACAATAATCTTTTTTGTATGAGGCAGACAGACCGGCCCAAATATGGGCATCGGCCCTTCGGGCATTGCCAGGTACGCCCGATGGCCAGTCCAGCCCTGCCCATGCCTGAGTGAAGTTTGTGTGGACCAATAACGTGTACGGATCCAGACTGTGCCTGGCATAACTCCATGTCTGATGCAGAAACTTACCTAACCAATTCAATTTAAAATAAATTATGTTTTCTATGACTTATTGTCTCTGTCCTCAATGTCCTCCAAACCTGTGTCCTTTTTATTTGCGGGAGAAATTGGGTTTCCCTATACCTTAAATAAACAATAGGGTGGCGTTGCAGTTGGCATGAGGTAGTGAATAAGTGTCTAGTGTTAGTCAGACGCCCGCACAGGACCCTCGATGCTACATATAGTACAGTTAATATACAACGCACAATACACAAATGCTTAACAAAGCAAGATGGAAACAATCACTCAAGGTATAAAAATCATAAATAATCACAGTGCATTTAAAAAAGAGTAAAGACACATTCCTTCAGTTGTACTTTAAACAGAGCTATACAGAACTGTTTTCAACCTGGATTTGAACATGTCTCACATCACATTGACAGTCCAAAATGGTTGAAAGGATCAGGTTATATTTATCTTGTTTCAAATGTACTAAAATCATAGACCGTATATCCCTCGAATCCCTCTCTCAATGTGGTGGGTGTTAACCTCCTCAGCGCCTCCTCGAGCTCCTGCTCTGGCTCCTGCCCTGGCTCCTGCTCTATCTCCTGCCCTGGCTTCTGCTCTGGCTCCTTCCCTGGCTCCTGCTCCTCCTACGCCTCATTCACACCATGCTCTAGCCACCACCAGTGCTTGACCCCAGGGGATCTGAGATCATAAATATCATCTGTATAAGACTGAAAAACCTGCACTAATACTGACACTATTTCTGATTACCACTTTTAAATTGCCACTTTTAAACTGCCACTTTTTTATGTACATAATATATCCTGCATTTAACATGTTTGCACATTTCCTCCCTTTTTTGCACAATCTGAGTGTTTCTATACATATGTGACATGTAAATGTCTCCTCTTTGTGAGATAAATAAAGAATATCTTATCTTATCTTATCTTATCATCTTCAGCAGCAAATGATCTCCCCTCTGCAAGTGTCACTGCCGGGGTAAATGCTCCAACAAATAAATATTTTTCATACATTAATGTGTCTGTCTTGGTCTCCTCAGATTGAATTAACCTTTATGCCAAAGAAAGTGATTTGAACAAAAGCGAGCTGGAGATTCCCCCATGGAGGAAGGCATCTGACAGACTTAAGCAAGACATTTGTAGTCAGTCCAGAGGTGGGCCATGTACAGCAGTGTACACTAAGACTTAAACAGTTGCAGCTTGACATCCGTTGTTATATGGTTCATATCTGGATAAAGCAGAGTCAAGACCACTTTAAAGGACTACATTATTGATGCGTTCGTTGTGGTATACAGCTATAGGTATTGAACTGTGCTGGTAAATGGCATGGAGGATGACGGTTTGTTGAACATTTCCCTACATTTAAATATCAATCGTGCAGTCAAAATCATGGCTCATTAAAATAACATTGAATGAGCCCCGTGCCTGGCTGAGAACTTTACTGTGGAAGTGGCATGTAAATCCATATTTGGTAACAAAATGTGCTGCTAGCTTTTTGAGACTGAAAAGCAAAAAAGGGAGGACCAACCTCACTCAGCCAAGTTAGGTACCCCAGGTTTAAGAAAAAAACAAAAATTGAGTTATCTTTTTCCCCACAAATTTATTACAATCATCAATTGCAAGAAAAACACTATAATACTGCTTATAATACTGAAAAACACTGCTTCTAAACTGAAAAGAGGAAAGCAGCCGGACATGACCTTCAGGAGTCCTTGAGGCTCGATAAACTAAATGTGTTTTGTCACATACTCAGTGAAGGTCACAGACAAGCACAATGTTTTTTTTTTTATCCCTTTTTATTTTGTAATTACGTACAAAAATATGCATTTTTATGCATTTCTTTTGTCAGCAAATGTAGTGGAAACATTCAATAAATATTTCCATCAATATTAAAGATGAAGTTGTTTGCCACACTTGCTCATTAGTCTCATCCCATTCTTCCTGAGTCATTAATATTGGCTTCAATTTTCCATTTACGTTTTATAAATTGTGTATCTCCATGTTTTGAGTTTTCTAGCCCAGGGTAGTTGTATGTTAACTTTGACAGGCCTTAATAAACATGATTAGCAACGTTCAAATCAAATCAAATTTATAAAGTGCTTTTCATACAAAAAATGCAACACTAAGTGCTTTACAGTTTAGTTGAAAACAATCCAATATGCCCACCCCTAAACCCCACTGCTCAACAGACCCACCAATAAACCACA